AGATTATTGTTTTAATTTATATGAAAGGTTAATTTCATATACAGTCAAAAGTCTTTAATCCGGACTCGTCTGGACTTCGGAGATTCCGGGTTATCGGTTTTTCCAGATTATAGATCATCAGTTTAAATCTGGTAAGATGGCATGCAGAAATTATAAACATGAAACCATAATTTATGAAATAAAGAGCAATTATGATCTAAAGGGTATCAAAATTTACAAAAAAAAAAGCTTAATATTTATTTGTTTACTTTATTAAACATTTCTTTCAACGCGCGCATGCGTAAAGCATACATTATGCATAGTCGAAATTAGAAAATTGCAACTAGAAAACTATTTGATGTGTATTTGTGATATTTATAATGACAAGGCATTTGATTTAAATCTGGCCCGCCAGCGGCCGAGTGGTAAAGTAACTTCTTTGCTTTATTCATAGCCTCCATTTTACCATTAGATTCTATCAACTATAATAATCAACAATTCTATTCAAAACTGGAAAAATGAAAAAGGGCCTACCTCGAATTTCTTCGCGTTAAATCCCAGCTTTTCAGTCATGAACTCACTAATTTTCTTTATCCATTCTTCATCTTACAAATCAAGTCTGGTGTCACCAGAAAAAAAAAAAAAAAAAATGTATGTATCCAAGTGATTAGAAGGTTGTTTGATGCATGTTCCTTGATCTATTGCACCAAGATATTTTACTGTACATTTATTTACAATTTATTTACAAGCCGTATGCCACCTGGCATGTTTACAGGCGTTATGACTCCTGGCATGTACATGATACACATATTCTGCCACCTGGCATGTAAATTGATACATCATACAGTCAAAAGTCGTTAATCCGGACTCGTCGGGACTTCGGCGATTCCGGATTATCGATTTTTCCGGATTATAGATCATCAGTTTAAATCTCGTAAGATGGCATGCAGAAATTCTAAAATTAAAAATATGAAACCCGTAATTTATAAAATAAAGAACAATTATGATCTAAAGGGTATCAAAATTTAGAAAAAAAAAAAGCTTAATATTTATTTGTTTACTTTATTGAACATTTCTTTCAATGTAAGTTGTTTAAGTTGCTTCGTTTATGAGATAATAATACTTCTCTTTAATGCTATAAACAGACATAATTTCTTGTTCACTTACAAAGTTCTGCTGTTCAAGTTCCGTTAATTGCTGTGCCGAGAATACCGACTAACTTGTCAATCGAAATTTTTTCATTTTCACTAACCTTTCTGTCACCTTCTTCATGTCTTTATCCATTTTTTGCAGCAATTCCACTTTTTGTTTGATGGACATCGGAACATACTTTCGTTTTGTAGATCCTTTGAGATCTCCAGTATCGGAAATTCTATTTGACATAATCGAAAGTTCAAGTTTACTTTTATAAATTGCTCTTACAGTCTGCAAAAAATAATAAGCCGGAAATAATTCGAAGATTAAGGAACAACGCAATCATCAACATTAACTGAAATAGATAATTTTAGCTTATACCGTCCGTTATACATAAAACGCGCGAGCGAAAACGTATTCTGCGCTTGCGCACACACATATGCGCAGTCGTAAAGGTCTTACGCGCACGCGTAAACGCCTATGCGTATGTGTCAACTCGCCGCATGCGCAGAAAGTTTTTAGCTTTGAGGTCCGGATTATAGATCATTCCGGATTATGGGTGTCCGAATTAACGACTTTTGACTGTACTAGTTTTCTGCCACCTGGCAGATACGATGCACTTACCTCAAATTGCGGTAATACGCCCGACATTTTGGCGCGTCTGCTCCCCTTACGTACTGTAATGCAACTAACTCTTTGTGCGGTGCACCCTCTGGCTACAAATCACCGAGGAGGTCAAAACAATCTCGTGATAAAAGTGTCATTCGCAAAATGAAGATTATGATAAAAAGGGATTTAAAATGAGAAAAAATTTTAATTTAAATGTAAAATATTATTAAAATGACCTATTAATGTACAATTACATATACTAATGTATCCATTCGTTCACAGTTATGTATGAAAACTACATAAATTCATTAAAAAAATAAGCAAATATTTTATTGTAACGACTAACTCAAATGTGTCACTGGATAATGTCTCACTTCAACTAAATCAGACATGTCACTGGGTGTAAACTGAGTTGCATGGTCTATCTTATCAGCTTATACCCTTTTCTTTTTTGGGGAAAGGAAAGCTAAATTTTCCAATGCTTGTTTTGCAAGCCTGACACCTGCTTGCTCTATCTCTTTTTAGCATCAGTTTGGATGAATCATTCGTGTCAGAAATATTTCTCTCCAGATTAACTTCAGTTTTCTGAAGTACAACATATATAATGTATTGGTGAGTTATTTTCATACGATGATGATGTAAGATGTAAAGTGGGAACAGCATTGTCTTTCAGCACCCTTTTAGAAGTTGAACCAAGCAATTCTGCATTTAGATCCTGTACATAGTCATCAGGTGTAAAGTGAAGAGCACATATTCTTGCATTTTCGATGTTGGAATTATCTGCTTTTTTCCAGCGAACAATCCATAACTTACGAAGTTCTGGATCACTTGGAAAACGATGGTATGTGACACCCTGACTTCTAGTTTTCCTTCTAAATTATGACATAACGATACAGAACAATTTGCAATTTCTGACCAGGTATAATAGCAAATCAACAACACAAATCAAATGAAACTGTTGATGCAACGAATGTAAACAAATGGCAAGAACTAGCGACTGTCACTCGCATGACGTTATGCGCACGTGGCATAATTTTCTCTCTGCACTGAGCCAGATTAAATTAAATTGTATAATCTTTGACCACTCCACATTTTTAGTTTGAATTTGACTGTTCTTGTTTAATTATGTCACCGTTAGCTGTAATTGATTTTGTTAGCATCAGAACATGTCTTTATGTTCTAAGTTCTTTTTAAGTTAGAGGTTTATTTAAACCTTTATGTGACTTTGTAGTAACTTTTAGACATAGCGATAATTTGTTTAACGTCTATCAGAGGTTTTGGACTATTTAACTTTTACCAGATCAAGTAAATTGTAATAAGTACATTATGGAGAAGTTGACAAGCTAGGAGATAAAGCAGCAGAAAATAGTGAGAGCATTGGTTTGCATATTAAGACAAATCTCTAATTGTTAGAAAAGATGCTTAAAGAGAAGGAAATCGATATAAAGTAGCCAAAATGTTTGGGAAGGCTTCAAATTAAAATGACGGGTAAATATTTTGTTGAGTGTTGTTGTTACAAAACATAAATGTTTTTAGCTTTTAATGTGTAATTATCCTAACATCGTTTAAGAATCAATGCCATAAATTTCATGTCTTTTAAACTGTGAAATTTTATTAGATTTTGATTTTAATAGGGATTTTATTTTAATAAAGCAAGAAAATAAGAGCTGGTTTGCATATTAAGACAATTCTAATGTTAAAAAGATGCTTACGGAATATAGCAAAATGTTTGGGAAGGCTTCATAAAAGACGGGTAAATTTGTTGAGTGTTTGACAAACATAAATGTTTTTAGCTTTTAATGTGTACCTAAAATCGTTTAAGAATCAAGCCATAATTATGTTTTTAACGTGAAATTTATAGATTTGTTTAATAGGGATTTTGATTTGAATAAAGCAGCAGAAATTTGAGAGCATTGTGTGCATATTAGACAAATCTCTAATTTAAAAATAAAGAGAAGGAAATCGATATAAAGTAGCCAAACTGTTTGGGAAGGCTTCAATTAAAATGACGGGTAAATTTTGTGAGTGTTGTTGTTACAAAACATAATGTTTTTAGCTTTTAATGTGTAATTATCCTAACATCGTTTAAGAATCAATGTCTTAAATTACATGTATTTTAAACTGATGAACATTTTATTAGATTTTGATTTTAATTGGGCTTTTTAACAAATATGCTAAAAAAAAAGAAATATAATAGTGGCCGTGTAAATCCATAATGATTAAGGTTATCTAACTACGTAATTTAATTATTTGTAACTAACTGCTTACCCTTAAAAATTATCTCTACATATTAAAGCGAGTGTAAAAATTCAAGTAAAACTTATTCTTTCCATCTAGTGAGACTTAAAATAATACAAAATAACTTATCTCTTCTGATACTTTAATGGATTATTGGAACTTTAAGGTATATTAACTGGGCTACAACCCCTGAAATTCTACAATAATCTACGACACTAACTTCATCAAACAGACTGACTTACTCTCAACAATTGCCAACCGTGCCTACATCAGGCCTTTCAGGTTTGTTCTGATGAACAGGTCTGTCTCTAAACAAGCAGCAGCTGTGACAACATTCAGTCTTGTGTTATGAATCATGCTGATTATGATCTTCTCATTTTAACCTATGCCCTTTGACATGAAATCTACCTGCTGTTTATTAAACCTCTAGACTGACCAAGTATGTGACAAAATGAGACATAAAAAGAAAATCAACATAATGCTAAATGTTAGTAAAACATAAATGTCACTTATCATCTTTAAAATATGTCCAAATATTAAAAGTGTAAAATATTTAATGCTACTTTATAAATTGCTTAAAGTGTATTTCATTCTCAAACTTATTAATAATTATGTATATTAATTCATTTTAGTAATAATGGATCTATTTCATTTTTAGGATGGTATTACAAAAGTGAAATTCAGGCATAGATAATATTTTTAATTGAATTTATTCAGTTCACATTTGGTCATAGGTCCTCAATTTTTTTCATTAATGGTCCTTAAAAGTACTTAATTTCCATGTGCAGAAATGCATACGAACCCTGTATTTGGTTCTTATGTATTTTTCTTTTGTCTATATATGTTGGTGGACATCTCTGTGGTAGTCGTTCTGATAGATGTTTGAAGGAGCAGGTCACTATCTATTCTATTGGATGAGCAACAGTTACAGATATAGCAGTCAAAAAGAAATTAAATAAATGTGAGCTCAAAGTTTTGCCAGTTATTCTGGCAAAAGTTTTGAAGGAACAGATCGTTCTTTGTTTAGTCAGATAATGAATATGGATATAATGTGCAAAAAAAACTGGTTGAAGTTGCTTAAAATCAAGGTAAGAAAGAAGATCTTTCAATTGTATTGTGAAATTATTAGCACTAAATCACTCTGCTTGGCAACAGATTTTGTTTGTTCAAAAATGGCCGAGAGGAAAATATGCAAGTATCCTAAACTTTTTGAAAAATTCAGATGCTAAAATTTGTAATGATTTAGAATTTTTTGATTTCATGAAACGGAAGAAGTCCACAGTGCCCTCACCAGGATTCAAGTTCTGAACCTCCCTAATATGCTTTGAGTGTGTTTCCAGTTACCCCACAAAGACATGTGGAAAGGAGGGAGAAAATACCTTATATACTCACTCTTCTAAAGGGCAATTGGGGATTAAGAGACACAATTTCCAAATCCTGGTGGGGATGTGTTATTGTCCACCACCTTTTAGTTCAAGTGCCACATATAGAGTCTTTTAGAAATTTTTGATGTCAGGAAACTGAAGAAATCTGAAATGTCCTCACTGGATTTGAATTCTGGACCTCCCAAAAATATACTGAGCATGCTTTCAGTTCACTGAGAAGGCATGTGGAAAGGAGGGAGAAAATACCTTATTATAATATATATTATACCTTATTATATTGCATTCTTAGGCTGTGTTTCAGTTAATAGAGATTTAGAAGTTTGTGAAAAGTTAATTAAAAAATTGTTAAAACTAACCATGAAATATGCTACAAGGAGGAATATTCTGATTCTGAAGAACTGATCTACGTGTTTCTGAATTGTGTTTGTTACCGTCAGAAAGTCAGTTATGCTATATACTGAGTATTTCCATGTACTTTTTCTTGCACAGCTTATATGATATCTATATATGATATCTATTACCAGAAAAAAAAATATCACATAAGAAATATATCTATTATGAGAAAAAAAAGGGCTAACATGTCTAAAATTAACAAGGCTAAGGTGACAAAAAGTAATCAGTTTTTTTCATTTTCAAATATGTATTAATATTGTAATTTTTTGTATATGTCTAATATTTGAAGATAAAGCATAAATAACAAAATATTGTTTATTTGTTCATTTCATTTAGCTTAGTAAATTTCAGGTAAAATTGATTCTCAAAATTTCTTTTGACTACTTCGAACAATTTTACTGGTCCTCGTGAATTCAAATTAATGAGAGTCCACTGTATATTTTTTATACTTAAGTTTTTCACATTGTGCTGCCTTTATAAATTTATTGTTTATTTTTGATTCCATCAGAATTCTGAAGGATTTTTTCCCCTTCTTTTAGGTAAATGAGTCAACTCTGAAGGGTTTGCATTCAAGATTAAAAGTCTGTAAAAGGTTAAGTTTATCATGGTGTGGTAATCAAGGGCGTATTCCTCCTTCATGCTTTGTTAAGTATGAATTATAGTTTCTCTTTATCCATCTTTTTCCAATTTACTCATGGCAAAATATTTGTTTTCCCCCAAAAATGAGCATTATATGTTATGTGGCCAGAAATTTTCTCTTTAACACTGGTCATATTCTATTCAAAAACTAAAGGTACTGCAATGAAAGAAATCAAATATTTATGAAGTAAATAAAAAAGTTACTAATATATATTTATTATCAAACTTAAAAAGTCATTTTTTGCATTTCAGATAAAGAACTGCAAATATAAAGTGTAATACCCTTCTCACCCCAAAAAAAGGAAAAAATACAAAATGCAATGTATATTTGGTGGTCGCGTGCTTAATGCATGATATAATTAAAGAAAATAAGAGTAGACAATCTCCTATAACAAAAGAATATATTAAAGTACTAATTACAATTTAAATTACATTGCAAGAGTCAACACAGAGCTCGGAACACAGTTCATACTAGCATCGCGTACACTTGTCTGATGAGAAGTCTGAGTGAGTAATGACGTCGCTTTGCTGCTCCGATTAAGAACTGGATTTTACACGTGGCGCCATCTCATGAATAGAAGTTGAAGTATCTGTCGGAACGCCACATATATGTTGACACAAAAAGTAAATATATCTTGTACATGTATATGCTGTATTTGTAAATATGAAGAACAGTCAAAAGGTTCCCAGAATTTCATTGTAACTCTTTATCACCACAATTAATTAATTTTTTACTAATACTATATTTATTTACAACCGGAATTCATAACAGGCAGTGTCACAGCGGTGTAGCTGGAGGTAGGCATGTGTGAAGATCAGCTGAAATGATGTCGAAGTTCGGGCAAAGGGCGAACATAAAGTTCATGTGCAGATTGAGGTATTCTGCTGCAGAGACTTTGTTAAACTGGAGTTTACAGTGATGATTCATTAAAGAAATCAGCCAGTGATTGGTTTTCAGGGTGAACCGGATGTTGTATAATTTATACCTTTAAATGTCTCGAGATGCAATGATGAATGCAATTTCATTTTTCTTTATTAGCTCGTGTTCGCCTCTCAAAGCGCTAAATGACGTAATCTATGTTTTGGGTAATCTGCCAACTTTAGAACTTCAGTTATATTAGTTGTAGTCATGTTGATCGTTGCTGTATTGTGAATGCTTACCTTTTCCATTCTCCTAATAAATGCTGTTATCCTTGTAATGAAGTTCTAGTTTAATTTATATATATCAGGTTATGCGCCCAGCAAATTAGGAGAAGTCTTTCATAAAATCGAATAGTAATATTTTGAATCAGTATTTTGGATTAAAATTGATGAACAGTGATTACTTCCATTTTCTTCTTTCATCGTTAATGGTTATGTAATGGCAGTTATGGATTTAAACTGCATCTGCATCGAAAAGCTGAATGACCGAAATTACTATACTTGGAAATTTAAACTGGAACTCTTGCTGATTAAGAAGGATTTATGGGATGTTATTATTACAGAACCTCCATCTCCAGTAACTGCAAAGTGGGTTTCAAAAGACAGAAAAGCTAGAGCAACTATAGGACTTTTATTGGAAGATAACCAATTAGGACATGTAAGAAGGTGTACGACTGCAAAAGAGGCATGGAATATTCTCAAACAGTACCATGAAAAGTCAACACTGTCCCGAAAGGTTGGGCTTTTGAAAAAGCTGTTTAATTTGCAGTACACCAATAAAGAACAAATGAGCGATCATCTAATGAAAATGGAAGCTATTGTGGACCAACTAGTAGCGTTAGGTGAGCAAATTTCAGAACCTTTATTTGTTGCATTTATTTTAAGTAGTTTACCTGAGATTATGTTACGTTAATAACAGCTCTATAAACACGACCAGAAGCCGATTTAACTGTTGAATTGGTTAAAAATAAAATATTGGAAGAGTATACTCGTCCAAACGAAAATAAAGAACCTGGTAAAGGAAGCGAGAATACGTATTCTTCTTTAACGAGTAAGATTCCAGCTGATAAAAATAAAGTACCTAATTGTTTCTTTTGTAAGAGATTAAGACATTTAAAGGCTGACTGCAGGAAATGTGCAAAATGGAAGCTTAACCATAATCAAAAGCAACAAGTCAACGGAACTATGAATTCAAGTAACATTAATGAAGCAAAAAATTTTCTAATCACCATTGCTTTACAAGTGTGAATAATTTTACATGGTTACTGGTGTATTGATTCTGGAGCCACCATTTATATGTGCAATGACAAAACTCTATTCAGCAGTTTTGATCGTAATTCTGTTCCTGAGTGAATAACATTAGCTAACATATATATACAGTGCTTAGTCAGGGAAAATGTAATTGCTTGGTAAAATATCAGAGTAATCAAAATGAGGAAATACAGGTTACGATCAAAGATGTGCTTTGTGTTCCACAGCTATCTGGAAATTTATTATCCGTAAAGAAGTTGACTGGTAATGAATATGAAGTGAACTTTAAAGGTGAAGAATGCCTTATTGTGAAAAATGATAATATAATAGCTTTCAGCTACTTGTATGTTCTTAAGGAAAGTGAGCATGCTCTTAGTATGAAACAAGTCCATACGGAATGCATTCATGACTGGCATATAAAATTAGGTCATAGAAGTCCTGCTGATATTTTAAGGATCTGCAATGAATCTATGGCTGAAGGTATGAATATTACTTCCTGTTCTACTGTATTGACATGTGAGGATTGTATTGCTACGAAAGCATGCAGAGAACCATTTTCAACCATTCGCGAACTTCCAAGATACTCGATTTAGTGCATACAGATTTTTGTGGACCAATGCAAACTGTAACTCCAGGTGGTGCAAGATATATACTAACAGTACATGATGATCATAGTAGATACACTACATTTTACCTTCTGAAGCATAAAGAAGAAACTAAACAATGTATCACACACTTCATCAAACAAGTATTAATACAGTTTGGGAAAGCACCAAAATGACTGAGATCAGATCAAGAAGGGGAATAAACAAGCAACGACTTTGAAAAATTGCTTAAAGAAAATGGAATATTACATGAGAAAGCTGTTCCTTATTCTCCGCAACAGAACGGGATCGCTGAAAGAAAGAATTGTACATTAATTGAGATGACAATGCTCTAATCTTCCAAACAAGTACTGGGGCGAAGGTGTTATTACAGTAAAACCTGCAAAATAGGTAGCCAACAAGAGAACTTAAAGTTACACCTTATGAAAAATGGTGAAAGAAAACCATCATTAGCACATATACAAGCATTCGGTACTCCAGCATATGTGCATATACCGAAAGAGAAGAGATAAAAACTTGACGACACGTCTGTTAAACAAATCATGGATATGAAGAAGGAACAAAAGGTTATCGTTTGCTGGATACAAATACCAACAGTATTGTAATTAGTCGGGATGTGACATTTCTGTCAAAAGATCCCCATCCTAAGGATAAACAGGAGGATACAGAAGATCTAACTATTTTTAAAGATAATTCAAAAGAGGAGTATATCTCTGAAAATACAGAACTAAGGCGATCTCCTAGGCAAAACAAAGGTATACCACCTGTAAATGGGTATACAAGTCCAAATGAGATTGCAAAGGAAAAGTTATTTCACTATAAAGCTAGACCGGTTGATCAAGGATACCAGCAGAAATATGGTCATGACTATGATGAAGTATTTGCTCCGGTAGCCAAGCCAACTACTTTGAGAATGGTTCTTATCATAGCAGGAAAAAAAAAAAAAATGGCAGTAAGACATTATGATATCCAATCAGCATACTTAAATGGAGATTTATCTCATGATATATAAATGAAGCAACCTCCCAGATTTGAAGAAGGTGATAAAGTTTGTAAACTTATAAAGAACTTATATGGACTCAAGCAAGGGGCAAATGAATGGAACAGAAAACTAAATGAAATTCTCTTAAGCAAAGGATTTGAACGAAGTCAAAATGACCCTTGTTTATATACAAGACAGGATAAAGATGGGTTTGTATACATCACTGTACATGTAGATGATATGGTCACTGCAGCAAGCACAGAGGATTCACGTGAAAATTTTGAAAGCGAAATTGGTGAACATTTCTCGGTGAAAAATTTGGGAAATCTTCATTACTATTTAGGCATGCGTTTTCAATGTGGCAATGAGGGTATCTTCTACCTAGACCAATCAAGCTACATTTTGAGAAAGCTGAAACAGTATCACATGAATGATTGTAAAACATCTACGTTTCCTATTGATCGAGGATATTATAGGAAAGATGCAAAAGCTTACAATAAAGTTGAGGAGTATAAAAGTGCAATAGAATCCTTACTGTACCTAGCAGTCAATACTAGACCAGACATAACAGCTGCTGTTTCCATCTTAGCCCAAAAAGTGTCAAAACAGAAGCCGATTGGATCGAAGTCAAAAGGCTCTTCAGATATTTGAAGTTAACTAAAGATCTTAAACTGCATCTGGGAAATATAAATAAGAAGGAAAACAATTCGTTGTTATGTTATGTGGATGCAGATTGGGAAAATGACCATACCGATAGGAAATCCGACTAGGGATATTTCTTTGAATATCAAGGCAGTGTATTTACATGGAATTGCAAAAAACAACCGTGTGTGACTTTGTTGTCAACCGAAGCAGAATTTATGGCACTTGCCAAGGCAGCAAAGGAGGCAGTTTGGCTCAAAAGATTTTTGCAACATATCCATGAAATGGACACCAATTGCATTTTTTATGAGAACAACCAAAGTTATATCAAGATGTTAAACAACGAACAAGACAGTGGAAGAACTAAACATATAGACACTAAATACCATTTTGCTAAGGATCTTGTTAAAAGTAAAAATTACCAACTTCGATATCTGCGCACTGATGAAATGACTGTTGAGATTTTAACAAAGCCATTAGGGCCAAACAAACTAAAAACTTTTAGGCAAAACCTTGGATTATGTTAAAGGTGTAATTTTATATTATGTGTTGATTTATTGTTTTTATGCGTCTTAAGGTAAGTTATTTTGCTTTACTAAAGATTAATCA